TTAGCCGGATTTGGTGGCATGCGTCTGTGGTTCCAGCTACTTGGAAAACTGAAGCAGAAGGATCGCTTGAGCCTAGCAAGTCAAGTCTGTGGTGGCTGTGAGCATGCCACTTCACTCCAGCCTGGGCAACAAGAGTGAGACTACGACTCAAAAAAAGGAAAGTAGGTCAACTCTCGGAAAGCTTACCCCACTCCTCTTGTTCTCAGACATCACTCCTGAAGCCCTACTCTCCTGCATCACCACTGTCGCCCTATTTCCCAAGTCAATCACATTCACCATTCAAACACACTCTGGTCTCTTCTATGAACAAAAATAAACCCTCTCTTTATCCTGTGGTACCTCCTTCTAGCTCATGCCCCATTTCTCTGTTCTCCTTTACAATCAACCTTTCCAAAGTGTGTTTTACACTCCCTGTCTCCAAAGCTTCACCTCCCACAGACTTCAACTCAATCCAAACTGCTTCTGACCCCTTCTGCCATGAAACTGCTATTTTGAAGGTGGTGGGTGACTGCCATGCAACCAAATCCATCGCCACATCTCTGTCCTCATCTCACCTGACCTCTGAGCAGCTCTAAAGTCACTGGGCCCAACTGCCCAAGCATGTCCTCTCTTGGCATCTGTGGTATTACATTCTTTTGATTTTCCTCCTACCTCAGGGGCTCTTTCTTTCAAACTTTCACTGGGTCCTCCTCTACTCAATTTCTAAATGTTGGCTTGTCAAGGGCTTGTTCCTAACTGCTGTTTTTCTTTTTTTCTGTATTTTCTCACTCCTCCCCTCCCCACTTCTCTCCACCACTCTATTTCATCTCAACTCTCTCTCAAGGTGACCGCATCTAGTCCCATGACTATCTTTATATTAACTATCTCTGAATTTATATCTATTGTCCTATCTCTCCCTGAAGCCTAGACTCTTAAAATTGTTTGTTGATGTCTCTACCTGGATCTCAAACTTAACATGTCCAATAGAGATTTCCTCACATTCTGTGGCCCTTCCTCTAAACAAAATCATTATTTTCTTCCTTGTTTCAGTGCTAGCACCATCATTATCTAGGCCATACATCTAGATAAATTATTTCTAGTTCTTTTTTCCTCATCTCCATCATCCAATTCATCAGCAAGACCTGTTGGTTCTACCTCTACAACACATCTGTCTCTTGATATCTTCTCCACTACTTATTCAAGTCTAGAATTCTATAAAAGCCTTCAAACTGTTCTTTTATCTTTACTTTTCAATCTGTTCTTCTCACAACAGTCAGGGTCATCTTTTAAAAATATGAAATAAAATCACATTGTTCCCCTGTAAATGGGTTCACTTCTTATGTGGAATAATATCCAGACTCCTTACTCAGCCTACAAGTCAGCCTCACTGGCTTTTGGTCTCCCTGAGAACCTTGTTGCATGTCACTTTCTCACTCTGCTTTAAACATCTGGCCTTTTTAATATTCCTTCAACACACCAAGCTCATTCCTGCCTCAGGATCCCTGAACAAGATCCCTGCATTAGGAGTCCTCAAGTCCCTTGCCTGGCAGGTTCAGAATTCCTCTGATTCCTCACATTGCTGGTTTTTCATCATTCAGGCCTCAGCACAATCGCCACTTCCCTCCCAGAGGCCTTCTCTTTTCTAAAGCAACTCCTTTACCTCCACCTCAGTAGTTATTTATCTCATCTTCATGTTTTATTTCCCTCACACCTCTTGTCACTGTTAACTTATTTGCTTTCTAGTTTATCTTCTCTCTTCCTCATGAGGGCAGGAATTCCTTGAGGATAATTACTTTGAAGTTCTTAATCACTGATAGAGTCTTAGAACTCAGAATGGTACTTGGTAAATATTTATGGAATGAATGGATAGAAGTGGTAGAAAATTTTTTAGAAAATGTTTTCCTTAGATGTTAAGTAGTTTAGAATATGACATTGATATGTCAAGTAGAAAAAAGTTATGTGGTTTTTAAAGATGTAAGACTTCAGTCTTTTGATGTCCACTTAGAGATGACCCCTATGAGTTTCCTTGGTGTCTATTTTTCCATTCACTGGACAGGAGTCCCAGCCCCCAGGCCATGGACTGGTACTGCTCTGTGGCCTGTTAGGAACCAGGCCACACAGCAGGAGGTGAGCGGTGGGTGAGCAAAGCTTCATCTGTATTTACAGCTACTCCCTATCACTTGCATTACCACCTGAGTACCACCTTCTGTCAGATCAGTGGTGGCATTAGATTCTCACAGGAGTGTGAACCCTATTGTGTTCATGTGAGGGATCTAGGTGGTGTGCTTCTTATGAGAATCTAATGTCTGAGAATCTGAGGTAGAGCTGAAGTGGTGATTCTAGAACTGCGGAGCAGTGGCAAATACAGATTAACATTAGCGGTGAGGTTTGACTGCAAAGATACTATAATAAGTCAATCACTTGCAGACTCATATCAAAACAATAATTTTGTAATATATTACAATGTAATATTAATAAAGTGCACAATAAATGTAATGTGCTTGAATCATCCAGAAACCATACATTCCCCCTCCTCCCCAGTCCGTGGAAAAGTTGTCTTCCATGAAACTGGTCCCTGAACCAAAAAGGTCCGGGACTACTGCACTAGGACAATGTTAATGGAAAAGATGATGGGCCGGGCTCGGTGGCTCAGCCTGTAATCTCAATGCTTTGGGAGGCCGAGGCAAGTGGACTGCCTGAGCCCGCTCATGCAAGACTAGCCCGGGCAACTTGGTGAGACCTCGTCTCTACAATAAAATAATAAATAAATTAGCTGGGCATGGTAGCACACTCCTGTAGTTCTGACTACTCGAAAGGCCAAGGCGGAAGGATCACTGGAGCCTGGCAGGTTGACGCTGGCGTGGCCATGAGTGTGCCACTGCACTCCAGCCTGGGCAACAGAGTGAAATTCCAACTCAGAAAGAAAAGAAAAGATGAAGAACATTCATCTAAGACATCCATCTCAGCTATGGTCAGGCCGTCTACTAAGTCTTGGCTTATTTGGACAAAGAAAAAGAGGAAGTATCCTGTGTGGTATGGCCTGAGGTATATCATTAAGTGATATAGGACTCCTTCCAAAATTTTCTCCCCATTTGGCCTAGTGCAGTGCCTACAATACTTCAGAATATATTCCTTTGGGCACCAAAGTTCTTTTAATCTTCTAGAATTTCATATCAAAATGTAGATACCACTAAGAGATATAACAACACGAGCCATCTTTATCTCTGAGTAGAGCTAACATTATGTAATTCTTAAGCTGGCAAAGACATTAGTTATCAGGGTTTGTTTTCCAAATGCTTCAAAATGTACAGGTAATTGGGAGCAAGGGTTTATAAGAATGGTGTCCAGAAGAGGTATCTGGAAGGACCTGCAGAGGAAGGAGGCTTGTGAAGCCCTAAAGACAAAATCTACTCCATCTCTACTTTTGCCCAAGCTGCTCACCTATGACCCCAAGTTTTTTCTGGGCATACCCACAAAGGGATAGGACAATTCCATGTATCTTCAAGCTTTACATGATATAAGCTGGATTCCTGAGATCTCTGAATTGGAAGACAGTGAATAAGCTGGTTTGCAGGCGGATTCAGCCCCATTCTAATGAGGAGGACTAACTGGGGGCATGTGGAAATTCTGAGAGGCTCCTCTGGGGATCCACTGACAGTGGAAGCATTTCCACTTCAGTTTCACAGTCACAGGGTAGTGACTGAGTCTGGCAGTTCAGCACCTTTTCACAGGCAGTAGCTGCTGAAAGGAGCTTGGCCAGTGACTAATTGGAAAATTTCATTATTAGATTTCCTAACCCCAAGTGAGCCACTCAGCAGCCATGTCTTCAGGGACACTTATGCCTGACCTTTTTTGTGACACATAATTATTTTTAGCAGCCTGACTTTTTAATATTGGAAAATTCAGTATAATATTAATGTCTCTTTTCCTTGGTGCAATTTCCACACCATTTCCTGGCTTGAAATAAACCTGTATTTGTGGTAATTGAGTTGATTTGCTGTGGCTGAGAGATTGCTAGTGTTGTTTCCGCACTCAAAATAAGGTCTTTATTGCATTTTAGAAAACAGAGTTTTTTAAAGGGAATTTCTCACTGAAATCACACTGATGGCTCGCTGCTGCATTACCCACTTAGTTGAATCGGAGAAGGCACCACTGTGACTTTTTCCTCTGTCTCATGTTAGTGTCAGCTGAGAATCATTTTTTATCCTATTTGCTTCCTATGAAAAGGGATAACTTGGCCTTAGCATAAGATGATTTTTAAAAACCTAATTGGAAGCAAAATTGCTCTCTTATTGCAAGAGAGTTTCTCACATATGCAAATGCCAAATATGACAGGCTTGCAGTATTTCTCTGCTTTTAATATGATAATTTCAGGGAAAAAAATAGTAAGAGATACAGCAATGCAAATGCCACCTGCTGATGCTTTTCCCACCAATAGCATCTTATATCCCTGATCCCTGTGATCCTGACAAATGGGACCTGAGAACTCCAGGAAAAGGGAGAGGATCCTGCTACTCATCTCTGTTTTGTTTTGTTTTTATTCTTCCATGCTAATGGTTATAATAAAGATATGAAGTTTGTGGTAGTAATCAATGTGATATTTTAACACAGAAATCAAATAAATCTTAGATATATAAGGAATTTTACCTATAAACTCATTGAAACATAGATCACAGTTCTGATTAGTTCAGTCAACAACTCAGTAAATGAAGTCAGACCAAGAAAACTGGCTTCTTGAATAAAATTGTCATGTTTCAAAGAACGATTCTGGTGCCATGGAGACAGAGTCATAGAAAAATGCTTATGGTTTGCTGAACCAGAGACCTTGATAATAAGGCAGAAAATAAATTCCTGGAAATGATCTCTAACCAAACATCCTACCATCTGAATAGTTTGAAATGCCAACTACTTGCTATTCTACCCCTTTCTGCCGATATGCCCAAGAGCACAGCTGAAGCAAATCAGATTAATAACCATGGTCAGGGCCTGGGTATGTGCTTATTTTCATGTAGGTTCTATACCTTGAATGGCTGCTCGATTCCATAGAAGAAGTGCCATTGGATACATCTTCTCTTTTTCAAGAATTTTAGCCTTTTCTAAAAAAAAGGAGATATTCCATTAGGAAGGCTTAAAATGCCTTTGTAGTAAAGCCATGTATGCATATGTATGATTGGGGAATTGCAGAGAATTTTAACTTATCTTACTAGATTCCAAAATGAATGCTGAATTGCTTTGAGCTACTTCATACCCCATTTCTGCAAGCAGTGCATATTGAATAAGAGAAGAATCTATATCACCATCCTTATAGGCAAAATAAGCTGTCAGGAAATTCTCAGCCCAGTGGCCTAGTTCACAGACACCTTTATAAAGCTGTATATGGGAAGAGAAATCAAGCAGACTCGTTAGCCAATGTATGTCATCCCAGGCAAATGACAAATGAAATCAGTCTTCCTGCTGTCTGGTTGGGAAAGGACTTTAGGTCTAAAGCATGGCGTTTGCAAATTATTTATGGTGAAGAGTTAATACCTTTTATAGGCACAAAGATTACAAGTATTTTTTGTGTCTGTGTTTTGTCTTGAGGGAAACTTCCTCAGGCTTATGTTAAATTTGTATAATAAACTTTCCTGACTTGGGGCTGTTTGGCAGAACAAAAATGTATGGACTCCTGTGGGGTTTTTTTTTGTTTGTTATTTTTTTAAAAGGGCCTTTCTGGGCACTAGCCATTCTGTGAGGGCAAGTTATAGGCCACAGCTGATGTGGAGAGGAGAGAATGAAGGGAAGAACAGTGCCGGAGGGTACAGGTGACATAACCGTCAGGGAGGTGTGCAGAGCTCTAGGGGGACAAATGTCAAACAGCTGAATAGCCCTTATGTAACCAAAAGAGGTTAGCCATACATAATTCATTAGGAAGTTGGCAAAGGAGCAAATCTAAAGATAGATTATTAGCTGGCAGCTTTTGAAATGAGTTTCAGAGGGACCAGATTGCAACATGAAGGTATTTATATTGGTGCAGCGGATGTGTTTAATAAATCAATGAAGGACATTAAGGTCCTAAAAGCATTCTTCTGAAAAGTGCATCACTGGCTCAGGCTAAAAGAAGACACTTTCTCAACTGTCATCCAAATAATCAAAAACCTATGGTCCCTGCTTTCTGGGAAGAAGTGGACTATGTTTTCTAGACTAAATCAAGCCTTTCATTCCCCAAGTAGCAGATCCCAATCCCACTAGAAGTGTCAAATGGCCTTGGTGATTTATTGAAGGCTGACCCCGGGCTCCTTAACTAAATTCTGAGGTGAGCTCTGAACTTGATGAAAAGTCAAGTGTAAGAGAGAGGAGGAGTCATTTCTCTTTCTTGCCTTCCCAATCCAAGTTACATCACTGCTTTTCCTCGCTAACTAATGTCAGTGTTCACATGGTCAACTAGAAGAAAAGAGGTAACTATAAAATCAAAGGCATCAACAATTTAAGGACAGGATCACCTCTTCTGTATCATAAATGAAAAGTACTTTTAAAACAGCCAAGTATTTACCTCCACAGCGGTTCTGCATGATCTTAACACTCCTGTTCCTGTGGCATACATCTCGGCCAGATAATAGATGGCAAGGGGCTGCCCACTCTGAGATGCCAAGTAAAAATATTTGAAGGCAAGTTTATAATCCTTCCATACTCCAGAGCCAGCTGAAAATTAAAATCATTTTGAACCAACCCTTATTTAATTTTTTGTATTACAGTCTATGGATATAATGGTTATAGTGATTTCTGCTATTTTAAATAGGGTAGGAAAAGCCATACAAAAGTCAAGCTGCACTAAATCCATTATCAGGGGAGGTGGGGAAATGTTGAGTCTGGTTTTAGTAAGAATATGGAAATTTATATTCTTGACCCATTCGGAAAAACACTGAGAAGGACTATTTAGGCTCATGAAAATATCTCCTCAATATGGCATAACTGAAGTTAATGAAAAGGAGACCAAATGGTGGTCTCCAAGCACCAGAATCTCCACCATGACACATCTTGCCATCCTTGTCATCCTTTCACACCAGAAGGCCAGTATAGCTTCTTCCAGCCACGACTATGGAGCATGGGGCATGTATATCCCAGCTCTGGAAAGCCCAGTTCCCACCCAACTCATATTTGGAGCAAGGAGAGGCACTTGGTGCTAGGGCAGAGAATCAACAGACTCCCAGAAGCCAGGATTCTTGTCCTAGCCCTCCCAATACTTCTTTTGTGAGTTGGGTACACTTAGGCACTTCATTTGCAAAAGATGATCCTTAAATTCTCTTCCAGCTCTAACACTGCATGGATGTGCCATGTAACAATTAAGAGCAAAAGCTCTGGAGGCAAAAATGCTTGAGTTTGAATTCCAGGTCCACTAACTATGTGATCTTAGGCAAGATATCTGACCTCGATGTGGCTGTTTGCTTGCCTATAAACTGTGGGATACCCCGTAGATATGTCAAGAGGGCCAAATGTGTTAAAACTCACAAAGACTTAATATACATCAGCCATTACTATTATTCTCATTCTAGAAGTTTGGAAAACCTGGCAGATCCTGAGTCTATGACTTGGCATGAACTAGAAGAACAAGGCCATCTTAGGCAAACTTCATCCCTTCAAGATAGTACAAAACAGGCGATCCTGCTGGGTCACTATGGAAAATGCCAGCTTACCTCTTGACCAGATTTGATCTCCTTGATGAAGCGATCTGCTACTACCCTGGCACCACCTCTACCATGAAAGACTTGGTGGGGACATTTAGATATGTTCCGATTACCTAGTGTTTTAGTTGCTCCCTCTTTCAGTCACCACAGAGAAGACTGCAAATCTTCATGGCTTTGTGGACATCCTACCCCAACCACTCTACCTTTGCTCTCAGAAGGCAACTTTGTGCCTACGAGATTATTGAAGAAAACCTCATTTTCTACCCTCACTTGCATCTCTCCCTATCCCTCCATATTTACATTTGTATCATCCTTTCCTCTCTCCTCCCAGTCATTGAAGATGAGAAATCCTGCCTGTCTAACAAGGTTAATGAGTCTTCCATCTTCCTGGGCCCAATCAGATTTTAATACCACCAACGTTTCCCAGAATCTATTTTCATCAATTATAATTATGCTCAGGTTTCTTGCCATCTTAAAAACAACTTGCTTTTTGGTCTTGGTCCTCTCTCATGCTACAATTCCATCTCTCTCCTTTGCTTTAAGGGTACATTGCTTGCAAGATTTTTACTTCCTCTCTACTTCCTCACCTTCCATTTACACCCTAACTCATTGTCATCTGGCTTCCATCCCACAAGTTCAATGACCTCACCAACATTCCCTATATCACCAAGTCTCATGGATACTCAGTTCTTTCTTACTTTTTTTTCTTTAACCAGGCTTCTCAATGAATTTTATGAGGGTGTTCATTCATTTACTCTTTCTTGAAAGTTCTGCTGCCTTGGCTCCCTTTAGATCTTTTTTCCCCCTTATTCCTCTGACCATGCCTTTTCACCCTTCTTGGTGACCATTCTTTCTTTGCCTGCCCTTCAATACAGCAAGGAGGATCACCAGATTTCCAATTATGACCTACTACTCCTTCCTCTCACACTCTCTCCTTTCCCTTTGCGATCTCAGCTACACTTAACTAACAGCTGTATGTTTGAGCCTCACAAACTTTTGTCTCCAAGTTTGACCTTTCTTGTGAGTTTCATATTTGCTTCTGGGTGTGTGCATTGGATATCAAAAACACCTCAAACTTAACCTTATCAAAGGTGAGTCAAAGTTTGACTCAGCACTTTCCTGGTATCCTTTCTTTTAGTTTTTAAAAAATTATTCTTCAGATTGTTGCCTGAATGTTCTATCTACACTACTCATACTAACCTTTTAATTTTTATTATGAAAAAAGCAGATTTAATAATGCATATTTCATTCTAGATAAAGCGTCATATTTGTAGCACTTACAGTAGTACATGAAGCCTAACTGGAACTGTGCATTGGGCCACCCTTTCTCTGCAGCTTTCTGAAAGTATTTAAGTGCTTCAGGATAATTCTGCAAGATAATTGCACTCTATTACTCAAAGGTATATGTATAACTCCATGGTAACAATTGCCTCCCACTTCTTTTTTAAGAGTATAGACAGCACATTATGTGATTTAGGCTAATTAAAACAGTATTGGAAATATTATATCTTTTATTTCATTATTATATTACATTCTATTAGAAAGTAATATCTCATTTTTACCAAAATTATGTCTTTTCCTACATTGACAGTAGGTTTTATTAGATATTAATGGAAGGTCACTTAAAAGACAGAGGTTAAACTAAGAAGACAAATTTCTCTATCAATAAAATCCTCAGGATAGATGATTTCTAAGGTTACTTAGAATCTATGATTCTATGATATAATTAGAATTGCTATTCTTGTCACAAGCTTGTTCCTCTATGTCTCCTTGGTAAAGATTTCACTGGATTATTTTATTCTCTATTATCTGATATAATGGTTTGGCAAACTAGATAATAGAGGTGAATTTTTTTAAATTAATAAATGACCATGAATTTCACCCTATAAATTGCTAGAAACATTGAGAAGATAATAAAATCATTTATTTAACTCACCACAGGAACTCCTTTTCCATAAAAGTAAAGAAGACCAAGACCATGAAGACCAATTGCATTGCCCTACAAGAGTTTAAATATCCAAGTAAAGTCCCAGACAAATTCATAAGGAAAATTGCTGCAAAATCATTTGAATTATCTGAAATGCACCCAGAGAGATTAATCAAGACAGGTTATTCTGACCCTCCCAAGTTTCTCCTTTCACATCTTCATAACCCCCTCTGACTAGAAAAGAGGTAATAAAGGTCAAGTTTTTTCTAAACTCAACACTCATTTAGAATTTGCTTTGTGTGTGATTTGATTAATAGGCATGGGGCAGAGGTAGGAGGTGAGAGGTAAAAGGTGAATAAACTATGATACCTGCCTTAGAGAGTTCATAAGCTAGTGGTCCCTGAATCATATTAAAGGAGTAAGTCAAACCTCTTAAAGTCATGTCAAATGGGGTAAGTCCTAAAGTAGAAATAGATTGAGAGTGCTGTGAATACCTAGAAGAGGGATTCTCTACTGCCTGGCTTGGCCAGGAAGTGTAGGAGATTGAACTGTCAGGTGGTGACATTTAAGCTACGTCTTGAAGGATGTGTAGGAGCTTTTTAAAGAAAGTCTATCCAGATACTCATTACCTACTTTGGTCAAAAGAGGATGACATAAATGGTCAAATAACATTTTAGAGATTCTGTGAATTTCAATTCAGTCACTACAAATAGTAAATTATTGTTGGTATATGTTTCTTTATTCAAAATTGATTGTTTATAACATCACTGACGTTTCCTTTTCTACTTGATGCTAATTTAATTACCATATATTTTCTGATTAATATTCTGAATATTCTAAGGAAGGGAGTATTTAGTATATTTAGTATTCAGCACATGTCCAAATATATTTAGCATATCAGTTTTGAATGAAGAATGAACCTTGAAAGTGACTTCTCCAACTAGAAAACTTTTCTTTCCATGTCCCATCATGCATTTCACCCTCTAGCAACTGAATAGGGAGTCATGGTTGGCCATTTGGCTTTCATTCGGCCAATCTGTAGGTTTGTTTTACAGGTTTATAGTATTTCTAAAGGAGCTTAGGATCTGACAGAAAGCACTCCAAATTTCTTTTTACAACATAAATTTAGTTATTGTGGATGCAGCTGGAGTACCCCTCCATGATACAGGAATAGCATAGAAAAAGAAAAGGCATATTTCTTTTTTTTTTTTTTTGAGTTGGAGTCTCACTCTGTCGCCCAGACTGGAGTGCAGTGGCCGCTCCTGGCCACTGCAGACTCAACCTGCTGGGCTCCGGGGATCCTTCCACCTCAGCCTTCCAAGTAGCTGGAACTACAGGCGAGCGCTACCACGCCCGGCTAATTTTTTTGATTTACTGTAGAGATGAGGTCTCGCCAAGTTGCCCAGGTGGGTCTCGAACCCGTGGGCTCAGGCAATCCACTCACCTCAGCCTCCCAAAGTGCGGGATTACAGGCTGAGCCACCGAGCCCGGCTGAGAAGGCATATTTCAAAAACTGTTTCAAGACTCCAAATTTTGAGTATGCATATCAAAAGATATTATAATAGTCCTTAAGGGCAGTTCATATTTAAAACAGTTGACATAACTCGCTTTCTTCATCCCTCTTCTCTCCTGACCACATCTACACGTGTTCTTAGGAGTCCTGGGTTAGTCTGTTCTGGGAGTAGTAAGGTTTAGTGAGATGGATGTGGCAACATCTAGTAAGTCTGTCTTTTTCTAACTAGCCTTATTTAGTTGTTGTGAAAAATGGAAGGGAAGGGAGAGAAATAGGGGAAGGGAAGGAAGGAGGGAGAGAAGTAGTAGAAGTGTTAGAAGACTGAGGACAAATAACTTTCCTCTTCTAAGAGTCCCTGGGGTACCTGGGAACTCAGGAACTCACTGACTCACCCACTGTTTAAGACACAGAGTGCCTAGTTAGAATTCGAAGGTCACTAGTAGCCAGCTCCAGGAGCCAGGCAGGTACTGTAAGAAATACAATACAACACATCAAGCAGAATCTGAAGGCAACAGCAGCTCCTCCAGCAGCTATCTGTGCCAGTTGGTTGTTGCCACATGGAATGGCAGCCCCTTATGGTCAGCTCATGCCATTTTCCAAGAAAGGTTGGCTGGCCCAAATTGGATGTAAAATTTACTGATTTTCAAAATACTTTCTGGGCCAAAAAAGAAATAAATGTGTAACCAATCCTCCAGTATACAACTGCTACTTAAGGACTCAATGCTCTTGTTTCAGTTAACTGACATGAATCTGGGGCACAATTTATTTGGCAAATATTTAATGAGCCTTGCTGCAGACTAGAACGCTTTCTCTACTACAGTTATGGGGACATTGCCTTCACACAGTAGGGGGAAATGCCCCAGGGAGAAAGCAGTAAGATCCCAGCAGGAGGAGTGCATGCAGGGCAAGATCAGAAGAGGAGGAGTCAAGGGGGGCAGGGTGGTTTTCTGGATGGAGAGAGGAATGGGCTCTGTTCTCAGGGATGAGTAGGACTTAGACTGGGGGACTCTGAAAAGGACAGCATATGACAAATGTATGGAGGTGGGGATGGGTCTGATGTGCTCAGTGGTGTGAGAGAGAGAACCAGAGGAATGTAGTCCAGTATGTGCTCAAAGTCATGTAGGGTAACTGTCCTTGTTCCTAAGTATATAAGACAAAAGAGGCTGTAAAATCTGTAGCTCTGTGTAGATATAACTTAAAAAGCAATTTTTAAAGAAAAAAAAGATAGGATATAAATGAGAAATCTAACGAATTGTTCAGGTGCTGATCAAGAAGTATGTGGGTACATCTGCCTAATGCCGTTCAGAATAATTACAGTAAATAAGCTTCAGATTTCCTTTGTAAAGGAAGATGGCTCAGGTTAGGCCCAGATCACTGCTGCTTCCCCAGGCCCTGAATCACTCGGGAGCCAAGTTAATCTACTCACCCAACTTCTTGGCATTATTCCTTTGGTCTGACAAATTGGTGCTATTTGCCAGATTATAAGAGATATTCCTGGTTACCTCTTTTCAGTCTGCTCTTCCTTCTCATCCTACTCTAATGGTACTCCAGATCACTGCCTTGCTGAGCAACAATTTCATATAAATTACAAAGGAGAGGAGCCCAATACTAGCCTTCTCAGTAATTTATGCCACAATAGCAGCAGCTCTGAGGTGCTAGTCATTTATAAATAGACTCCTAAAGCAGCATGTGGGCTTTTAAAAACTGAGAACAGTTGACAACATTCCCGATCTAAGCACATCTTTACTGCCAGTATTGCAGCACAAGATTGTAAGACAACAAAATGCTTCCTACTGTGCAGGTGTAGAAAGTTTATCGGGGCCATTGGCCAATGTTAGGCAGATGGATATTGAGATGAGGACTTTTTTATGCATTAAAGGGATTTAGAGGTGTCTACCATCTTATCTGACAGATTCCGGCCTTTCTGAGCCTAGGAACAAAGGCAAAGATCGACAGAGGGAAGCATATTCTCCCATTTCTACATTTCCTCACGATCCAATCCATTCTGCCTTGGGTACTTACTCAAAGTTTACTCTGCCTTCCTCACCCCAAATTGCAAAAGATAATAGTTCACTTAGTATGTGCCAGGCACTGTGTTAAGTATTTTACAATATGAGGCACATGCATGCTCACTCCTGAAATTTTGACAACAAAATCAGGAAATATTCTTATATTCCCACTTTATAGATGGGAACATTGAGGCATAGAGAGGTTAAATAGCTTGCCCATGATCACACAGCTATTTAAGTTGTAGGACTGGCATTCAAGCCAGGGATTGTGTCTCCAGAACCATGTTGCTAATCACCTTGCCCTAGCCTCCTCCCTGACAGCCTCCTGTCTGGTCCAGGGGCAGTTCCTTTGGGTAAGATCTGACTGGAAAAAACTGGACATTTCCTGGATGTTTTTGTCTTGAACTAACTACAGTTGCTGATTGAATTTTCCTTTCCTCTGTCCTCATCTCTTTTATTTCCTGTTCCCAAGCTAGATAGTTTCATCTACTACACAGGAAAGGGGAAAGCTGAACAACTTCCTGGCCTTCTGTAGGCTCTGCCAAGGTAGTACAAGTCACTACCATTTTTCATCTACCAAGAAGACAAGTCATATTTCCCTCCACCCTCATCCCACATTTTATTGTCAACAATATTGTACTTCTCCAGGACACAAAACTCCTTGCAGGCCCATGAACTGGGCTTGGGACTTTGAAATCAACCCTTTGGCACCAGTGTGCATGTAATAGAAACAATTTGTTTTTCTGTGCTTATTACAATGTGTTAATGACATACCTTATTGGCTGCCATGGAAAAGTATTTGAAGGCAGTGGCATTATTTTGTGGCGCGGCAGCATTCCCCTCTAAATACATCTAGGGAAAAAAATGAAAAGAAGATAGAAAAAACAGAGGACATTGACGGTGATGCAAATGTTTTAAAACTAATTAGAAGTAATGGTTGCACAACACTGTGAATGTAGAAAATGCCATTGAACTGCACACTTTAAAATGGTTAATTTTATGATATTTGAATTTTACCTCAAAATTCTAACTAAGGATTAAAAAACAAACAAACAAAAAAAACTAAGGGTACAATCTATTGCTTACGTTCTAGAATGACCTTGCCTGAGGGCAAATAAATGGACACTATTTGTGTTTTCTCACGTTTCTTGCATCTAAATGTATTGTGTGTCATGAAGCGGTCCCCATGGTTACTAACGCAGATTGGCTGCAGGAAGCCAAGGGCAGCACTCAGGAGTGAATGGTCTTTGAAGGAGAGAGAAGAACATGTCTCGCTAGGGAGCCCTCCCCAAGGCTGTTCAGAAGCCATAAGAAGCTTCCCATCAGAGGAGGCATAAGAAGGGGCTTTGGTCAGCCTGGAGCTGACTCTCATTCCAGGGGTGGAGGATAAAAGAGCCTGATTGGGCTGAGGCCCATACCAGTCACCAGGGCTCAACCAGCCCAAATCTCCTGTTACATTTTGGGGGCGGGAGGTGACTCATAGGCTCATAGCTAACCTCAGTGGAGGGGCACTGGGCCAGGTGCATTTTTAAGGCTGCTTTTGGTGCCCTGGATAAAGGCTGCTCTTGTATGGACTTTTTCTCAAACTGTCACCTCAAGAATACCACCCTCAGGTTTCAGGAATATCCCTGCTTCCATGAAACAGCCCTGTCACTAATTTCTTAGGTTTGTATTTATTATTATTATCATTATTATTATTATTATTATTTTGAGATGGAGTCTTTTTATGTTACACAGGCTGGTTTTCTAGGCTCAAGCAATCCTCCTGCCTTAGCATCCTGAGCAGCTGGGACTAACAGGCCCGGGCCACCGCACCCAGCTTAATTTCTTAGGTTCTTAAGAAATGAAAAATATTGATCAAGATAAAGCATGTACCTTTCCTATAAATGCCATGGCATTTGCACTCCCAGCCTTTGCTGCCTTTAAGAAGTAATATAATGCTTTCTGGAGAGAAAAGGAACAGTATTATTGCCAGTCACAAATAAATCCTACAGTATGGCTTTCTGAACCAAACTTTATTTCACTCAATATGCATTCAAAAAATATCTATGAAATGCCCACTTTCAAGGCACTATTCCAAGTGCTATTTCAACCATAAACTTGAAGAGTGGGAGAATCTCTCCATATATCTCTTGCATATATATAATTTTAGAATGTGAGGACTTCTCACATTTGGAAAGGCATGATGGGAATGTGGCTTTGTGGGGAGAGATGAATCCCAGTTATGGAGCTAAATAGTCCATTATTTTGAAAAGTAGGCTTATATGTCGACACTGTGTACTTATTTTATAAGACAGTTTGTACTATAGTTGGCAGAATTGGATACACAGCGTCCTAAAGTTTATAGGCAGAGTAAGACCAGACACACCTGGCTGCCTGCTGAGAGTTTATGCAGAGGTGAGCTTCAAGACAATTCCTTCTAAACAAATTGAAGGAGGTCAGTGGAAGCACTCAGTCTAGAACACATAAGGGCTGACTTTGTCCCTTGCTGCCACCTTCCCTAGTCATCATCCTGACCTGCTGGAAAGTCTCCTCAGAAACTATATGGTTTAATAAAAGAGATCAGCCTCAGGAATGAGACTTGAAGATACTCTCCAAAACTTCTTATTAGGACAGAACTTTTCTGTTTTTCAAAATGTCTTGCCTAGGTTAGTGTGAAAGAGTCTCAAAGAGAAGAAATGTGGGCAGTTGTTTTATATGGAAATTTGTTCTAGGAATATTGCCAACTTATTGAGAACCATGCCATGTCACTGAAATTGGTCAGCCTTGTGGACATAGTACAAATACCACCACCACCACTGAACCTCACTGCATCATACATCCATTCATACCCACCAAGATTCATTTTCAAAAACTTGATTGAAACCTACCATATATATAATAGTATGTTAGGTATTAAAGGTGATTCCTAACACAATCCCTACATTTGTTCCCTAACAATGTTGCTGAGAAGAAATATATGTAAATAGCAATAAGATAGCAAGTGATAGATAGGAGACAAGAAACACCATAAAGAATTAGAAGGAGATAGAACAAAAGACCTCTTACCCAGTTCTCTAATAAGTGTTTCATAAACTTTGTCTTTCCTAATCTTCACAATAGCACCCTAAGAGGGCATTACTCATATCTGATCCTATTTGGTGGCACTTCAGAGTCAACCAGCTAGTGCTGGAGCCCTACAGGTAGCTTGGCACTCTGCCTCTACAGTATACAGAGGAAGGCTAAAATGATAGATGCCTCGTGGAAAATGGAGAGGAGACACCAGTACAGAGCCTAGGGAAAGAACTGGAGCAAGGGGATGGAGATGGGAATGTCCAAGGTGTGTTCAGAAAATAGTAGTTACCTCAGGATGGATGACATAGATATCCAAAAGCTAAGACTTGCAAAAGTAAGATGGGGCCATTATGATAAACTGAATTGAATGCTAGGCTAAGGACTTTTATTTGGTAGGAAATAGAAGCCATTGGAGGTTTATGAGCATTAGAGAATCTTAAAGATAAAATGTCTGGAATAAGCTAAGTGTCAGTTGGAGAGTAGAAAGTTATAGCAATGTATGATTTTCAAATTAATATCAAAACCAGAAGTATTTCTCATGAATAGCCCTACTGAGCCAAGACCCAAATATGTCCCTAGGTAACTATAATTTATACAAACCACATTATCTCCTATGCTTAGTTCCCTCATATAGAGTTTCTTCCTCTGTGCTCTCAGAGCACCCTAACCTGTTCCTGTTGTGGGCATTCGTCCATTTATATCATTATCTGCTTTTTGTCTCCTCCAATGTTGAATCCTTTATACTTAGCATAGTGTCTGCTGTATGTTAGGCACTTAGGAAATGTTTCAGGAATGAATGAGTGAATGTTTATAAGTCTCTAAAACAAGGGAGCTGGACTTTAATCTTTATGGGCATTTCCTTCTTTAGCATTATGATTCAATAAAATCATTTCCAAAGTCCAGCTTAGAAATTTGTTTATCAAATATCTTGCAGTGAAGAGTTCTGGAAAAAGTTTCATTCTGTGGAAACAGATCTAGCTCTTAAGACAATCTATTCCCCAGAATCAAATAAAACTCCTGGGGTTTTCCCCACTCTTCAATATAGTGATCCCATAAAGACCAAAAGGAATCGAGACCTTCTCTCACTCACTGTTCCACTGTCATGGCTTACTTAGTATTTCAATTCTCTTTTCTTTCTTTTTAAATTTACCTGCCCTTAATGCTATTGCTTCAATTGTATAGACATTTATTAACACCATGTGAAAGCATTATGCAAGCTACTTTGATGGATGTACATGAGCCAATCTGAGTTCTTGCTCTCAAAGAGTTAGGAGCAAGTATCCAACCATCCATCCATCCATCCATCCATCCATCCATCCATCCATCTGTCCTTCACATATTTACTGAGCACCTATCATCATATTTCACCAGTTCTAAGTTGTATATCTTCCCTACCCCATTTTAATGACACTTCTCACTATCAATTGTGTATTATAATTTATATTGGTAGTTTTTGTCTTCCTCAGTAAAACATAAAATAATGATGTGTCTTGCAACCAATGGTGCCTTAGGATGAAATGTAGTATGTCCCAGGCCATTATACTAAAAAATGGTTTGTTATTTGAACCCACAGCTTTCTTTTTTCTTTTAAATGAGCATGATTTTTCATTGACTCTAAGACAATCTGTAGTTTAATCAGCTCACAACATTTCCCCTGAAATGAAATGCCAAGAAAATATATTGCTTAAGAAACATTTCTGAACACTTCTTTTATCCTAGGTTCTATAGATCATCCTGAGAAGACATATTAGCTCTTTTCTTTTTAAAAGGCAGCAGGATAGACAAAGCAGTTGCTCTTACACATTTGATATTACTCCTTTGCCAGATTTAATTTAGTTATTCTTTATCCACTTTAATAATATGCCCCAAACACCCCACTTTCCTAATCCAATTCATTCTGAGCCTGTATTTATTTAGAAATGCAAATGACATTAAAATTTATGTGTAGAAAATTCAAGATAATGTAAACAAGAATTGCAAAGGCAATATTTTTTCAATAATTAAGAATATGGTCAGGGGAGGGTTAAAATGCCTGTGATGACAACCTAGTTCAATCAAACAGTGAGGAGAGGGAAAAAATCAAGTTAGTTATTTCCAGGTATGTTGAAATTTAATTTTCTGAACAGTAAACTGGGGCATCACATTTAAAAAGAGTCTTATACTAATACTCCCCTATAGTGGCCTGAAATATTAGCATACTGGCTCTAGTAGTGGATTTCTTTTTTTTTTTTTTTTTTTTGAGTTGGAGTCTCACTCGGTCGCCCA